TTTATTATAATTAAATAAAATTTGTTAAAAAAAAGAATTTAAATTCATAAACTGAATATTATAAATATTTAAATATCTATATATATAATTCGTTCCAATATGTATGTAAATCAAAATTTAATACATACAATAACATTTCACTTTGCATTTGTTTTTCTCTTGCCTATCAATGGACTCCATGGAAGGAGTCGCACTTGCTTTGAGTGGAGCCTACAACGTCCATTCCTCATCTCTACTTCTATTGCTAAAGAGAACATTTCTGCAGGAACCTCAAAATGTGCTGTTAGAAATGCATCACAGTACATTTCATTTATCTTCTTCACAACTTAATGTTTCATCATGATTGAAAAATGTCACTAGATAAGCTATAAAAAGTACCATAAAATTTGTAATGCAAGATAAAATCAAGGAAGATATACAAGATCTCATTGTTACATACATGCAGAAATAACAATGAAATAGATTTAACCAAAGCAACAAACTAAGATATATTTTTTGGCCAATGATCTTAATGCACAAGGCAAAAGGATGTACACTACCTCTCTGAGTGCATTTCACAAAAATGCCTTTCATAATCATAGTTCTTCCATTTTGCATATTTCATTATGAAATTGCTAGACTTGAAATGCAATGCCATATAATTTAAGAGAAGGAGAATATATGAAAGGCTGAGAGATAAATCTTTAATCAAGTTCATGTTTGATTACATTGGAAAAAGGTAAAGATTATTTGATTTCATGAAGTTTATAAGATAAACGATTTCAAATCATATTTTCAGCTCGTAAATAAATTCATAGAAATAAATGGATTCAAATGCTTCAAGAGGAAAATAAACCAATCTTTCAAAATAAAATGACCACGCAACAAAGTTTCAAGAGGTAAATGCAAATTATGTAATGGATAAATCAACTATGCTACACCTTAAACTGATGGTATAATTGTGTCTATAGAGATCAATGCTTTTATAGACTTAGCAATAGCAAAAAATGTATCATGGAATCATTAGAAAGTAATTGAAAAAAGTATAAAGGATCAATCTAAGTTGATAGGTCTATAGTATGCACTTTTCAACTGCTACAATTCATCAATCAAGTTTGCTATAAAATTCAACAAGAAAATGGCAGCAAAATAGAGAAATCAGTTTAATGAACTAGCAATTCAAGTGATACTCAAAACAGAGAAAAACAAAGCATTAACAACTAAATCTATCCAAACACTAAATGAATTCATGAAAATAAATGCAATCGATTAAAAAATAATGAGTAAACATGTAAAACTAAGAATGTAAAGTATGAGAGAATCAAATCAAACAACTAGAAGGTAAGATGATCATCATTCATCAAGTTCTCATGCATGGATCATTTCTCGTTTTGGATTTAGCCTTAACTTTAAAGAATTAATTGTACTTGTACGAATGGAATTTGAGACTGAATTTTTACTAGATTATAGCCTTATGAACTAGGAATCTAGGAGAAAAATTTTAAGTAAATCAAGCTAGAATTCACTAAGTTTTGTTCAAAAGATAAAAGATAGGTTAGGTGTACGATTTTGAAACCAAATTTAAATTCAACGTGAATTTTATAGAATTTGAAAAGGAAATCATAAGAATTTGTAAAATTTATTATGAATATCTTAAAGAACATTCAAAATGAGTGTAGGAAACCTAAAATTGTAACAAGATTCAATTAAGAAAACTAAAATTAAAAGCTGTTTGGTTAGAGAGAAAATGAAAGTGACACCAGATCAGGTTCTGACAAGCAAAATGAAAAGTAAAATATTAATTTGTGCTCTAAGTTGCACCAGGAAAGATATATGGAAAGCATAAACTTCTTATAAGAAAGCTGATTAACCATAAAATATGGCTTAAACAAGGTTCAGGAAAGTACGAACAAGCATCAATAAATATCATACAGACATTCATGTGAAACCATGGCCTCCCACCCCAAAACCCCTAACTTCTGACAAATTATTAAAAGAAGTTCCTTTTGTAATAGAATACAAGATTCAAGTACATTAAGTTATCATGATTTATACTTTTATACAATTCTCTTGATTCAAAAGATTTTTTTCAAAATAATTACATTTCTCACTTTCTCTCACATTCACCCAAGCATATTCAACACATTAAATCGAACAACAAGCACATATTTCTATATTAAACTAGCAGAGATAGAGCAAGAATCAATGCAAAGCATTCATATATAGATATGAGATAAGTGAGAGCAACCTTGTGTTAGAGTACTCAAAGAGGTTTCCAGCGATTGAAAAAACTATAAAAGCTATCTTAACATTGCAAAGAGTGAAAAGTTCATGAGTTTTCTTGAAAAGTCCTCATCTCCTCTTTGAGAAAGTCACTTGCCTTGTTGCTACATTGTCAATCTTCTTGATTTGAATTTTCTTTCTCGCCATTCTCTTCAAAGAAAAAAGCTAGGGAAAGAAAAGAAATTATAGAAAAGAAAGAAGGGGTTTAAATTTTGAAAAAAAATTTTAGCCGCTTCATTTTTTTACGATAGTGACGTTTACTTAAAAAAAAGTCACTCTTTGCAAAAAGGATTGTTGAAAAACATTTCAGACAAAAAATGCCTTCAATAATCTCTTAAATTTTTTAGAGAAGATTATTAAAGGTATTTTCTGTAAAAAAACACCTTTAATAATCCCCTTAAATTTTGATAAAGAGTTATTGTAGACGTTTTTTGATCAAAAATATCTTCAATAATCCCCTTTAATTTTTTAGAAGAGATTATTGAAGGTATTTTTTGTAAAAAAATATCTTTAATAATCCTCTTAAATTTTTATAAAGAGATTATTGAAAGTCTTTTTGATCAAATACGCCTTCAATAATCCCTTTCAATTTTTTAAAGGAGATTATTGATGGCATTTTTTGGTCAAAAATGCCTTTAATAATCACATCCAATTTTTTAGAGGGGATTATTGAAGGTATTTTCTATAAAAAAACACCTTTAATTTTTTATGAAGGATTATTAAAGAAGATTAGTGATAGTTTTGTAGTGGCATTTCACTTACAAACGTCATTAGCTTTCATGTTTTTGTAAAACTTAAGGCGTTTGTTATCAAAACATCACTAAATATTCAAATAGCAGCGTTGTTACTTATAAACACCATTAAAGACAAAAATTAACGGCATCCACTGACTAAAACACCTTGAATAATCTTTTCTAAAAAATTAGAGTGATTATTAAAGGCATTTTTTTACAGAAAACGTCTTGAATAATCCCTTCATAAAAATTGGATAGGAGATTATTAAAGGCATTTTTGATAGACGACACTTTGAATAATCCTTTCATAAAAAATAGAAACGATTATTAAAGGCGTTTTCTACAAAAAAAAAAAAAAAACGTCTTCAATAATTTTTCTAAAAAATTGTAAAGGATTATTGAAAATGTTTTTGGTCAAAAAATGCCTTTAATAATCCCTTCATTTTTTATGAGAGGATTATTGAAGGCGTTTTTATGTAAAAAAATGCCTTTAATAATCCCCTCAAATTTTTTATAAGGGATTATTGAAAGCATTTCAAGGAAAAATCATCTTGAATAATCTGCTCATAAAAAAATAAAAGAGATTATTAAAGGCATTTTCTATAAAAAAAAAATACCTTCAATAATTCCTCTCTAAAAAATTGTAGAAGATTATTGAAGGCGTTTTGTGTAAAAAATGCCTTCATTAAATCTTCTTGTCAATAAATCTACCAAAAATGAGGTAGCATTGTCAATTAGAACATATAGTCCTTAATCATAAAGTTGTAGCTTCAATCTCTTTCTTCAACATTTTTTAAATTTTTTGAAGGATTATTGAAGGCATTTCTGGCTAGAAACGGCTTCAGTAATCCTTTATAAATTTTAAAAAATGCTAAAGGGAATGATCAAACCTACAACCTTATAATTAACAACCGTATACTCTAATCGACAACATTACTCCATTTTTGGTAAATTTATTGACAAGAAGATTTATTGAATGTGTTTTTAATAAAAAACACTTTTAATAATCTTCTATAATTTTTTAGAGGAATTATTGAAGGTATTTTTTTTTTTTTTATAGAAAACGCCTTTAATAATCGTTTCTATTTTTTATTAGCAGATTATTCAAGGGGTTTCTTACCTAAAATGCCTTCAATAATCTCTCATAAAAAATTAGAAGGGATTATTAAAGGTCTTTTTTTGCACAAAATACCTTTAATAATCCCCTAATAAAAAATGAAATAGGATTATTGAAAGTGTTTTTTGACCAAAAATTTATTGATTGGATTATAGAATGAGAGTTCAGCCAAAAACACTTTCAAGAATCGGCTCCATATTTTTCCTATGGATTATTAAGGGTGTTTCTCTGTGAAAAACACCTTCAAAATTTTTTGCAAAATTTTTTAAAGCAATTGGTGAAGACATTTTTGCCAAGAAAATGCCTAGAATAATCAACTACAAATAATTTCTGCAAAAACCCATCAAAAGCTAAAGGGAGAGATCAAACCTACAACCTTATGGTTAACATCCGTATGATCCAAACATTTTGATATGATATTTATTGAAGGCATTTTTGAATAAAAACGACTTCAATAAGCCTGTAAAATTTTTTTATCCAATTATTAAAGGCGTTTCTTGTAAAAAACGCCTTCAATAATCTAATACAATTTTTTATTAGGTGATTATTAAAGGTGTTGTTTGCCAAAAACACGCCTTTAATATTCACTGAAATTTTTAAGGCAAGATTATTCAAGATGTTTTGGTCAAAAAATGCCGCTGATATCAAGTCTTTAGTGGCGTTTATAAGTAACAACACCACTATTAGAATATTTAATAGCGTTTTGATAATAAACGTCTTAAGTTTTATAAAAACATGAAAGCTAGTGGCGTTTGTAGGTGAAAGGCCGTTACAAAACTGCCGCTAATACGCCATTTTCTTGTAGTGACTAGAATGACTCCTTGCATTTCTTACTAAATTATAACTAAAAAAATAGCATAAGAGAAGAATTATTAATGCGCCTATACCAACGAAGACGGAGATTACTATCAGGGTGAGCCTTTTTCCAGAACTAAAGCTGGAGCAAGGTGGTAAATGTAATTGTGAGACACCGCCACAAAGCTTACTGTTTCCACTAAGGAAAATGGCACTTGCATTTGCAAATATGCCTTCTTGTGACACTTCACCCACAAAATCATTGTAAGACAGATTAAGATACCTGAGAGATAAAATCTTGCTTAGAAAAGCTCAGGAATCTGGCTGGTCAGATTGTTGTATGACAGATCTATTTCTTCTATACCTCTTAGAGATTTCAAAGATAAAGGAACTGTTCCTCCAAATGCAGGCTATCTAAATTAGTACAACTGGCTAGGCTGCTGGGAATTTCACCGGACAATTTATTATTGGCGAGGTCTAACTTTTCATGTCTGTCTAGTTGACCCACTTCAACTGGCAGTGAACCAGTCAAAAGTTATGAGACATGGATAAAAATTGTGTAAGGGACGAAAGACCCCAAATCTGTTTAGGTATGGTGCCACTCAAGTTATTGCTTGACAAATTTATTGCAAGCAACTTCTGGCAGTTTCCAAGACTTGGAGGGATACTTCCCTCAAATCTATTATCATGTAGATAGAGCCCAGCCGGTAGAGTCAAGTTGCCTAATGAAGAAGGTATTGATCCAGAAATCTGTTACCTTCCAAATCCAATTCCTCTAGTTTTTGAAGCTTCCCTATAAAAGTGGGAACACAGCGAGTGAAGTAGTTATTTTCCAATCCTAGAATGGACAGACTAACAAGGTTCCCAATCCCAATAGGGATACCTCCGTGAATCAGATTCTCCCCCAAAGTCAAACGTTGCAACTGGTTTGAAAGGTTGGCTATGGAACTTGGCAGTTCTTTTCCAAAACGATTTCCCGCGAGACCCAACACTTCAAGAGAAGTTCAATTAGACAAGAAATTGAGAAAGCTCAGGTCACCAATTTCCCCAGTTCCAAGTTTATTATCATCAAAATTGAGTCTAATCAAACCTGCCAAGCTCCGCAGATTTCTAGGCGTGGTTCCAGTAAGACTTTTATTAGCGAAGTCGATTATTTGAAGTCCAGAAGCATTTGACAATGATACCGGAATAGGTCCAGTAAAATTGATAAGACCACCGGCAAATACTCGGAGATTAGGAAGAGTGAGGCCAATATCTGGTGGTGGCTGCCCATGCAACTGGTTTTGAGCATCAGATACCAACTGTATTGAAGAAATATTATAAATTGAAGTAGGGATTTTACAGACAGATGATTCTCATAAACTTGAAATTTTTCCAAACTTGAAAATTTTCCAAGCGTGATAGTTGGCCAAGTTCATAAGGCATGCTTCCTTGTAAATTGTTCATTGCTGGAAAAGAGAATTAAGAGAAGAAAGGTTACCGATCCAAGCAGTGATTCTTCCAGTAAGGTTGTTACCTGTGAGACGCAGGATTGCCAATTTTGATAATGAGCTTAGTTGGTCCGGATCTGCCCAATGAACTCATTGAAAGAAGTGTCAAGTACCCTAAGATGCGTACAATGAGTTAGATTGGTAGGAATTTTCCCGCTAAAAGAATTGTGTGTCAAATTGAGATGCTGCAGGCGCAAAAGACGTCCAATTTCTTCAGGAACGTCACAATGAAAGACATTTTCTCCCAGGTTGATTCCAGTAAGGAATGTAAGGTTTCCAATGGCGGGTGGTATGGACCCAATTAACTTTTGATTCTCCAGGTTTAAAACCACGACTCTTCCACTGTGTGGGTTGCATGTGACGCCAATCCAGTTGCATAAAGGAATAGAATCGTTCCATGAGTTCATGATCTTCACTGAATCTTGAGTTACACTATTTTTGAAGTCAAGCAAGGCCAATCGATCCGACTCTTTTGCATTTGCAAAACGGGGGAATACAGCGCATTCCATTCTAGAAATCATCCATGAAAGAAGAATCCCCTGGAGGAAATATGAAAAGAAAAATCTAGAATTCGGGCATGTGACGCGTCGTGCTTATGAGCAGATAAAAGTCCTGGTTTTCATCAAATAAAACTAAAAGACAAGAATCCAGGAAAGCCAACAGAACTAGGTGTAGCATGTTAAAGTTTTTATTGAAAAACAAGGTTAGGGAAACCTCAGCTGAGAAAAAGAAACTTTTTATAAGAACACAATAAATTATGGCATGAGAGATGAATATTTAAGGGACAGTAAAAGCCCAACAGTAACAATGTCTCAGGTCAAATCGAGACAATTAAATTGACAAGGTGCAACTTGAAATTTCGTATACTCGTATACATTTAACACTCGATGAGAATTATATTAAATAGTAATAAAATTAATATAATTGTTATTAAGTAATTTTTTAATTATGATTAAAATATTTTATAAAAATTTTATATTAAATAATTTTTATTAAAATTAATATTTAAATTTAATTAATAATATAATAAATTTAATCGTATCACGATAAAGATATAATTATTCAAATAGATACTTAATCGTCACAAAATTAATCCAACAATTTGTTTAAAATAAAAGATAAATTCAGAGAAGGAAAAAACATTGTGAGGAATCATTGATGGAACGTTAAAGCTAGTCTGGTAGGAGAGAAAAAAATAAAAAAATAAATTTAAAATTATAATATTTGATTTTGTATGGATCGATATTTTTATTTGATTTTAATTGAATTTGAATATTAAATATATATTTGATTTGATTTAAATTTAAAATTATAAAGTAAAAAATAAAAAAAATAAATCGAATCGAATTATATATATTTTAATTTATATATTTTTTAAATTTTAATAAAATAAATAATAATAATTTTATATCAAAATCTATTTAAATATATTAAAATTTTATATTAAAAAATAAAAAATCAATAGATTAAATTGAATTTAACTAATAAAATTTAATTTAATTTAATTTCATTTAATTTAAATTGAATGAAAATTTGATTTAAATTAAGAATAAATTTAAATTTTTATAATATTATATAATATTTAAAAAAATCGAATCAAATCCAATTTGAATTAAATCGCTATCACTGTATTAAATATGAACAAAAATTGAAGGTACTTTTCAGGTGTGCTATGAAACAGCTTGTTTGACACTGCTAATTTCCTTTTTCTTTCACGGAGGAATGATTTCATATGCTCTGAAAAAATGATCACAAGGCTTTAGTTTGGGTTTTCACTTCCATTACAAATTTCAACCAACAATAATTTAATATAAAAGTGCATTATTTTATCATAATACATATATATATATATATATATATACACCTCATTAAATAGCCCAAATTTGCTACACTGGGACACTAAGTTCTGAAAATGTTATTTCTTTTGAATTATGAAATCAATGACTCATACAATAAGCCTTATTGGGTTACTTTTTCGGTTGAACTTGCAGGTCAAAACTCAGAGAGGTGATTATGCACTCAAAAGAAAAAGGAAATCTGGAGAGGTGGTCTGGTCTTTATAGTTTAAATTCCCAACAACGTTCATTTAAGATGTGGGGTCCGATGGCTTTCACTAGATCCTTGAAAATGTGACTGTTACGCTTTCGAATTGGTGTTTTCCTTATCTATACATAAAGGAGTTTTGGTCATTGTGTCATCGAATGAAGGGAGAAAACGCAAAATGTTAAGAAGTTATGTAGGTGAAGTATTGAGTACATTCCTTCTTGCCAAATATCTTTGCAAGCCTCCCTCCATTTGTTTAGACCTTTCTTCAATTTCATCTGTTCCCACTTTCTTTATTCTATGATCTTCTTTAAAAAAAAAAAACTGCCCCTGCCCTGGCCATGCAGAAATACATATACTTGTTGGTGAAGAGAGTTTATTTTGAAGTAATAATGCAATTTTATAGAGTTGTCGTCATTGGCCTCAAAGTGTTCCCTTTCTAGAAATTTATTAATCTTTTATAGACAATTGTGATCTCTTATGCTAACCATGTAATTCTTTGTTCGGCTGTATATCCAGTAAAATTGTGATCACACTTTGAGAATTCAATTCATAAGAATTGACATTTTAGCACCTCCTCTCAACACCAATTAACGGAAGCTGGAGCTTCTGTTTTAAAAAACCTGATTTTCGACAAGCCCCGATGTACATAATCTTTTAAATACTAAGTTTTTGATATGGACGGGACCCATATTTAATTTTTATTTTTAAAAATTTATTTTAAAAAATAATTTTATATAATAATAATAATAATGATAAATATTAATAATTTTGTTAGAGGCATTTAGTGGTCAAAATGATATAATAATCTTTTTCCTTGTTAGAAGTCTTCAATAGACAACCAAAAGTCATTTTCATATTTGTGTTGACCTAATATGTTAAGTCTGTCTAATACATTGAGTGCCATATCAATTCGGCACTGTCTTTATAATCACTTAATAGTCCCTTGTAGCTTATCATATATATAAATATTCAAGCAAAAATTGAGGCAAGTTCAATCCAACCCTATTTCTCTTTATTACTCTTTTTTTGACCTTATCTATTCTGACTTGTGTGTCGAAGTACAAATACAAGGAACACTCATTGCCTTTGTCTCTAACTGCTTTGTCTATTGTCTTATTAGGAATACCCCAAAGTTTGAGCTTGACACAAACATTTGGTACTCCAGGTAGGGGACCTTTCCATCCACTAGTTGAGCATGAGATGATGCCACCAAGGAAGAAAACCTTAGAGGAAGGAGAGACAACCATCCCAATTGGAATAAAAACACATAACTATCAACACTTAGAATGACCTTCACCACTATAGACGGTTCAACCATGGAACAATTCCAGACATTGACCGAGCAAATTTAGACCCTTAAACAGATGTTGCAGACTATAATCCCACCACAGACTTCAAAAGTGGTCAACTTAACGTAAGACAACCAAGCTATGAAGAGCTAAAAGCCTCTTTGATATCTAGAAAAGAGGAACATAACACTCTAGTCCACCATTACCCCAACCCTAACTCAACACATGCCATAACCCAAAAATCTAAACAGACAAACTCCAAATCCCAACCAAATAAAGACTGAAAAGCTTGGATGCAAGCCATGGAAAAAAAAAACTAAAAGCAAAAGCAGTGGCATTCGAGGACAAGCTCAAGTTCCTAGAGACCTTGACCTTCACCAAAGAAATTGACAGAGCCATACCTCCGAAAGGATTTAAAATGCCAACCTTGAAAACCTACAACAATACTTCTGACCCCATTGATTATTTGAAACTTTATAGGACTAACATGATAATGTAAGGCATAGACAAAGCTCTAATATGCAAAGGCCTGGCTACCATTCTGAAGGACACAACTTGATCCTAGTACAACAGCATGAAACTGAGGTCAATTACAACATTTAAAGAGCTCAGCCACTCTTTTTTGTCTAGATTTATGAGTAATCGAATAGTGGAAAAGACAACTCTAAGTTTGATGTCAATCCACCAAGGTTGCAATGAATCTTTGAAGACTTATGTCATGCATTTTAATGAGAAAGCTCTACAGGTTAAAAACTCAGAGCAAACAGTCGCTATAGTTGCCCTAACAAGTGGATTTAACAATAAAAAATACCACCCAAAGTTAACCTTGTAGCTAGAATCACCTAAAACTCTAGTCGATGTCCTATTGATAGTTGAGAAATATATAAATGCTAAAGCTACAATGAAAAATAATTGAGATGAAAGAGACTTATCCCCTTTCTCGGTGGTTAAGGGAAGAGAGGTTTATCCCCTCTAATTGATCGTAAGAAAGGTAAGGATTTCTATTATCCTCTCCTAAAAGGAAGATGACATAGGGTTAGAAACCCCAGTGAAAAAAGGAACTACACTGCATCTTATACCTTTTGAAAGAGGATTTTGATGCAAATTTAAAGAGGTCCATACCTCAGATGGTCGAAGCCACTGAGATAGAATACAAGGAGAAATATGATCAAAATATGTATTTTTTATAGAGACATAGGCCATAATACCAAAGATTGTTTCAACTTGAAAAATGAGATCGAAGCTCTAATAAAGAGAATGCAGCTGAAGAAGTTTGTAGAGTGACAAAGACAAGGTCAACTTATAACAAACTCAGCCAAGACTGAGAAAAACCCATCTGAGATAGAGAAGGAAAGTAGAAAATGGAAGAAAAAAAGCATGAAAAGATGAGTTGATTCAAGAAAAGGTTAAAATTGATAATAATAGGTCGATCACCGAAGTGATTAATGTGATCACCAGACAAACTACATCTAAGACTGAAAAGAACCCATTCGAGATAGAGAAAAAAGATAGAAAATGAAAGAAAAAAAACCTGAAAAGATGAATTGATTCAAGAAAAAGTTGAAATTGATAATAATAGGTCGATCACCGGAGTGAATAATATGATCACTAGAAGCAACTCTACCTCTGCCAAAAGCAAGTTCAATCCAGGCATGGTCATAGCCATAAACACCTTGATAATGAGAGAAAAAAATTAGAAAGATGAACCATCTCATTTAGTTTAAAAAACTTAAAAGGAATCCAACACCCACATGATGATGCTATAGTGATCACAACTGTAGTATATAGCTATGTAGTCAAGAGAATCTTATTTGATAAAGGAAGCTCAACCGACATCATGCATTATGGTACTATAAAAAAGATGAAAATTGGTGAAAATTAGTTGCAGTTGATCACCACAATAATAGTAGGATTTAGAAATAAGCAGGTACCGGTGAAAAAAACCATTAAGCTGTTGATTTCATTAAGGACAGAACTAAAAGACTATCACCTTAATCATAGAATTTATAGTTGTCGACATCCCATCAACTTACAACATGATCTTAGGCCAACCTAGCCAATTTGTTATGTGACTTATATGCTCAGCTCCCTAACTCAAAGTGAAATTTTCAACACCCAATGGGGTTGGAGAGATTAGGGGAGACCAATCCATGGCATGATAGTATTGTGTCACA